TGGGGGTAACGGTGGCAGCAATTGTAGTAGTTTTGTTGGGTGATAGAATGGGGAAATGGTGGAGGGTGTGGGGGGAGGGGGTGCAATGCAAATTCATACAAATGCGGATATCGCCCAGGCCCTTAAACTTAGAGTGGTGAGATTTTTCAAACAAAACACTAGGCGTTAAGAACAAATAAGCAATCTCACCTCATGGTTGTTGAGAAGTCGGGGTGATGGGAGGTCGGCTATGTCTTCGCAACCGACGCAGTTGGAGGCTTCCATCATGTAGTTTTCTTTGTCCACTTTGTCTGCACTTGTCCGGCCGGTCATTAGCAGTCGGGAGATCTCCCACACCCAGTGACAGCCGGACTTGGGGTAGGAGCACAGGATGACGTCATCCTCCCGGAGTGGGTAGTCCTGGAAGGGACATAGTAGGTCAAGAAGTCATATTGATCGTATTTGTATGGCAGTAAATATATTATTGGCCTCATAGAGGGGAAGCCCGACTGCGACAGGCTGCTGAGGATAAACGCCGACGCCGAAAGAACAGCCAAAGGCTACCTATACAGGCAGGCACTACTCACTAGTGCTGCCACTGCAACAAGGACTGTCATTCCCGTGTGGGCCTGCTCAGCCACAGCAAGAGCTGCTCTCGAAACTGAAATCTCCTACGGCGCAGATCCATAGTCTCCCGAGACTGAAGGATGCCGTACCATAGTATTGAATATCTTTCCCTGACTGAAAGAATACAAGGAAAACGAGGTAGATCATGGACGGACTGCGATAGCGATGATTTGGAAGAGATTCAAAATGTGTAACTATTCTGATCTATAATTTAACTGAGTATCATTAATAAAAATTACAATAATTTGGCTACCACAATCATTATTAATTGTTGTACCAATGTTCCTATGTTCTTCCGGCACAGTATGAGCATGACATTGATAAATCAGCCCATTCACAATTATACTGTGATAAGAACATGTTAATATCCCCCCTTTGGGAATTGCCTGAAGACAACTTTAGTCAGTAGCACTGCCCAGGTTGGGGAGGGGGTGGGGGGTGGGCGGACCAATTAATAGGACATGAGACAAAAAAATAAAGGAAGGAAAACGAGGCAGAGGTAGACCCAAAGAAACATTTAGAGAACCTGGACGGAAGGGTAACGGGGGAATACTAGGATAACAGAATATACGTTGTTTTTTTCCAGCGCATTCGAGTGGAGAAATGAATGGAGAACCATGACCATCAAATTATGTTTCAGATCTGGCACTTTATGATGATGACGCGTACACAATAAGGGAAACAATATACAAGGGAGGAAATGGAAATCGTCTGTACAGGTACCCCTCTAAGCCCAGGTTCCCAAGGCAGGGATGAAAAGCCCGCCTCCTAAATCATCTAAATTGTGTCAATGGGACTATAAAACACCTATATCAACAAAAATGTGAGAGGAAGCGAGAGAGAGAGAAAGAGAGAGAGAGAGAGAGAGAGAGAGAGAGAGAGAGAGAGAGAGAGAGAGAGAGAGAGAGAGATGCGTCCATAGTTCAGCGGGTAGTACTAGACTACAGTACAGACGCCCCTATTTTGAATCTCTGGCAAGGTGCTCCTTATGACATGAACTTTTCCGTCGTCGACTGTATTCGTGTCAGTATTTTTGTTCTTTTCAACAACAATGACGGTCATGATGATGATGATGATGATGATGATGATGATGATAATGATGATGATGAGGAGGAGGAGGAGGAGAAGAAGGAGGAGGAGGAGAAGGAGGAGGCGGAGGAGGAGGAGGAGGAGGAGGAGGAGGAGGAGGAGGAGGAGGAGGAGGAGGAGGAGGAGGAGGAAGAGGAGGAGGAGGGGTTGAGGAGAAGGAGGAATAAGTAAAGAAGGAAGAAGAAGAAGAAGAAAAGATCGAGTAGGAAAAAGGAGGAAAAGAGGGAAGAGTAGTGGCAGGAGTAATGGGAGAAGTATCAGAATTAGGCGTGCAGAATGAAGCGAAGGAGGAGATGGAGGAGAACGAAGACGGTGCATTTTTTAACAATCAACTCACCGGCATATTCTCCATCATATCATGGCTAAACTCAGACATTCCAAAGTACTGCGGCTTTTTCTCATGAACATACAGGCTCATAGAAAACCCCAGAAAATCCTTCACCTTCTGAACAGGCATCGTTGCTGCTAGGTTTTGGTTCAAATCTCTCAACTCAAATGTGAATCACTTACGCTGGAGCAACTGACAGCAGATCTTCGACGGAACTTTGTAGCGTTGTGGGGGTGAACGGGATAATTTTTTAAAAGACCACACTGAGACTTCAGCAGGAGCCAGGCTGCTTTTTATTACGACAGGTGAATTTGGGACATGGAGAATAATTTGTCGCTCCAGAACATTCATGCCCAAAGGTCACTAGGCAGTCAAGTGTTTTTTGGACACGATAGGTGACGAATTATGCTAGGGGAGGGTGAAGAATTGGACCGTACGTTAACTGGAACGAGGCCTAAAATTGTATTTTTGTCGACCAAAATGTAGGACCAATATTCAGCCAAAGACATAAGCTATTTATGTCGTATATCCAGGCATTTATCTCTACTTTTAGACAAGAAAATGGTAGAATGCTGTATCTTCCCAATATTTCTATATGGCGCTGAGACCTAGATTTAAACAAAGAAAAAAGAAAACAATATAGCAACGTTTGAGAAACACGCTACCGTAGAATGGCCAGACTGAGCTGAGCGCGCTCATATGACCTTATGCAGTTGTGAGCGCCGTAAAACCCCATACTAAACTTATAGACTGAGCTGGAAAGCAGAAATGACGAACAATGAGGTGTGTCCAATTCTCCACACAAGACAAACTCTGCTTAATAAAACAGAATGTAGAAAAATACAATTCTTTGGTCACATAAACATCATCAGATAATTGTAAAAGAGGTGCTTGAAGGAAAAGTGTGGGTCAGGAGAGCCAGGGGAACCCAAAGAGTAACATGGATGGAGAACATTAAAACAGGGACTGGTCTGGGTATAACAGAATGTGCAACGGCAGCTCGCGACCATGAAGGATGGAGGGTGATTGCACGTCAACAACTGAGTCAGAGATGACACCTCACGTATCCCAGGCCCCAGGTATAATGAACTAGCTGAGTACCTCGTTCGATGAACGGACTCAAAGATCAGTACGCACTGCTTGTGAAGGGAAGCCTCACTTGTTTACAATGGCGTCTTAGAAGGCGGACTTTCCCAAGATTAGATCAAAACGAAACTAATGAAAAACTGAAAATTAAACTACAGTGACTTCAGACTCCTTAATAAAATGGTGCACCATTTAAATGATTCTGAACCACCGTTAATTTGTTCAAATTCGAAAATTAAGTGGTTTGAAAATTTTAGGCGACCATATTGACGAACTTTCACAAATGATATATTATAGTATCTGAATGTAGGGGAGAACTGGGAGAACAAGTTAACTACAAGTATATACATGTACCGTGTTTAAAACAAGGTACAATTCAGTTATTTATGAAAATAAATGCTAATGCTGTATATATATATTATTGTATTTTGTGTGTTGTTTCATGTTTAACTCATATCGGGTCTGCGTTTTTCAAAGGAAAGAAAATAAGGGGAAAAAAGGGTATTATTAATTAAAATATCTCCTTTCACTTTATATGTGTTATTGTATTTTGGGTATTGTTTCATGTTTAACTCATCTCGGGTCTGTGTTTTAAAAAGAAGGAGAAGAATATGTACGGTG